TCGTTTCACTGCCTTTGGTATTACGTATGAAGTGGTAGTAATGGTGTGCTAAATAGGATTGATTTAGTTACGATTTGGAAACGACGGATCAAATCGAGGCTGAGCTCGGTAACATCGCTCATAAAGACTGCGGGCGCTTGCCGGACCACACCTTTGAGGTTATTGCTACTACTACTTCCCCTGATTTCATTCATTTCCAATTTTGAAAACGACGTGTAATTCACTACTTATCTAGCACTCCTTCCTTTCCAGGTCCTCTCTATTCTTTCTTATTCGTTTTTCATACATCAGACTGGATGCTACCCTGAAAAACACCGCTAAACAGTGATAGCTTTGATCTCGGAGATTCGGAAAATCAACCTTTCGAATAGTTCTCCCTAAGCAGATGTTCCCGTCCGTGGCTACGTCACGGTAACGCCTTCATAAGACGTCAAAGCCTCAGCTTCACTATTCAATTCCACTTCGAGTCTAACGCCAGGATGGTGTTGCCATCCCCGTTGCGAATCCCGATTCCCGATTTCCGGCTTTCCTCGCTTCGGTGAGATGTGTCATATCAGCTCTGTTACAAAATGATGGCACAAGTAGCTCCAATAACCAGAACAGGCTGAATTATTTCCATCTTTTTTTTTAAGTAGCCAATGCTAATTGACTACGCTTTTTTCGTGGGTCATCATAATACCCTATAATAGAACCCGTCAAAATCGTGGGGAAAAGGGCTCGGAATGCTGCGTCTGAATTGGATGTCTTTGCCGTCATGAAGCGTTCAATGATCAGCGGTCAACGTCGCTTCTTGTCTACCATGATCTTATCGCTCACCCCGATTCGATTTCCGATTTTCGTCTCCCGATATTTCTCTACCAGTGTTCCATGCACCATCAGCTCTGTGCATGATCACCTACGTCTTAGTGGATCATGTAGAAGTTTGGAAAAAGCGAAAAAGCGAGTTGTTTGTTGTACTGGGCAGCAAAAACATGTAGCATGTTATAGTACTGACTAGATTCCATTTGAGGATTGTAATGAGACGGAGCGGCATCCATGGCTCTATAATCGACCGCACAATTATGCTGATTTTGCGGTGGACGAGAACGGTTTGTGGGTGATCTACATGCGACCGGAAAGCGACGCTCTGTTTGTGAGCAAAATTGAACCGGTTAGTTTCGCCAGTGTGGTTACAACGGGGGCTCGTTGATCACATCCTTTGAATGTTCGACGCGTTCAGTATTCACTCTGTAACAGTACAGAGTTATCAGAATTTCGTTAAGAACTTTTTCATCAGACTTAAGAATCTTTTCAGGTTGTGTTTAGGCACTTAACACCTTCCTCAGGGCTGCTTGCACCAGCGTCGGTCAAAACACAGAGAGATTGACTGGACGTACCACGAGGAATGACTCATATAATCATATCTCATATCATAACAAGTTGAAATGGTACACTATGGAATCTGAACATTGGGAGAACTTGTAAATAGAGCATTAGCGCTAGGCTTGCTACAGCGCTATCAGTGAAAAGCTTCATCTTTGCCTCACCAATCTTGTTCCTTTCGACTTTCTTTGGGGCTTCCTATTATAAATGAACACAGTCGCAGGCTTACGTTGGAATTCCCACGCTCTCCATAAAGTAAACAAAATATTCAGTTGACTTTTGAGGATAGAAGACAAATTCGAGCCAGCGCAAGCGGTGGAAAGAACGAGGTGTAGAGAGGAAAGATGGAGGTACCCTCCCCTTCAAAAAGCCAGAAAGTGTCGGGTGCAGACCATACACCACAAGTGACGACGGCCTTCCACAAAATGTTAATGTTTTCTGCCAATGAAATGATTAGCCTGTTGCAGTTGTATTCTATCAGTTGTCACTAATTACAACTATCATTTACCAAAAATCAGCTATCACTATGAACCACTCTAACCAGATTTACTTGGAGGCCGTCGTCAGTTGTGGTGTTTGGTCTGCACCCGACACTTTCTCGCTTTTTGAAGGGGAGGGTACATAGTCGTGAATCTGCAGAACAATACGCTTGCAGGACTTTTACATCGTGGACACATGGGAGGTGGCGGATGTGAATGCGACACAGCTGGCCGACGCATTCATCATGTGTGGAGTACTGTACGGACTGGAGAATGCGACCACCAGGGATTCACGAATCAGTTTCGCTTACGATCTGTTCAGGTAGCTTCCGACTCTTTCTTCAGGACTTTGAGGGATTGGATCGGCAGGCTAAGTTCTTCTTGTCGTGTGGGCTGCTCCTGTAGCCCTTTTAAGAGCATTCTAACGCTTCACAAGAATGATAAAGCAAGTTTCAAGGGCGAGCGCTCAACTTCACTCTTGCTAAGACCGCGTTCTGCACAGTCAATACAAACGAACATCTCTCCCTCCAGGGTCGGCTATGTACCAGTGTACCCCATTGTGAAAATTATTGCAAGAACAATTAGTTCAAAAAAAAAACAGTCCTGGAGTGAACGGTGCACTCAACATCGGCTAATTCATAAATCAGCGAGTTGACCGAACACATACCTTGAATACCTTGATGTCCGCTCTTCAAGGATTATCTCGCCATCCTTGCAGGACGCATCTATGCCATTCTTCTCGATTTCTTGCCATTTGTTGCCATCTCTGTCCAAATAATTTCCTAAAAGGATCACTCCACCTGGCTGGGGGTCTCCCTTGCGGCCTTTTAACTCCGCGGGGATACCAAGTTGGTCACTCGGGATGTCCAACGGTTATCTTAAGACGAGCACATATTTAACTCAATTATGACCGATTCCGGTGATAAGACCGACTGCATGGCATCTTATACAGGAATCACCCATTGTGTCTCCAATTGTGGGAAGTGGAAAAATTCCAGTTTGCTTAGAGATCGATATTTTCTTACTGTTGCTCAGAGTGTGCACGATATGGGAAATGCGAGACTTGCGTATATTGGTTGGAAGGCGCCTCATGGTCTTGCACGGACTTGTAAGATCGGACCCCGCCGGAGCAGGGTCAAACTTAGCAGTTGGGTATTTTTTCAAAATCTTCACGACTCCCTACATACGTCTCAGAAGGTCTCTCAATACGATCCTCACCTTCCCATTACAACCGCCTCCCTTCTCGCTCCTAACACGACCCTCACACTACGGTGTTTCTATAATAGCTTTGATCTGAGACCATCGACAGTGCCATCTTCTCACTCCGCCCATCTTTCCCACAACGACTCAGAACGAAAAGCAGGTATGCGATGGGAGAGGCGAGGGGAGGTAAATTGTCTCAATATGCAATAAAATCCCCTTCTTGTCCATTTCTTGCTTACTTTTGAAATGTATTCTCTTCCAAATAAAACTCCAAAATTCCCGTTCTGAAACCCTCCTCCTCTCCACGTGCCACACTCACTGAACTTCCATGTACTGGCACCCCTCCTTTTACACCTACTGAACGTTCGCGCAACCCCAAATACAAACTCCCTCCAATAATCTTGCAAGTACGATCGCCTCTCGATCGTACATGCTCGGACGGTTTTATGCTCGGGGCAGAGACATGTCGATCGGCGTTAATCGCCTATTAGTTTCTTTGTATTTATATGAGGGTGGCGTGATTTGACGCGAAACTTAACAAGATATATATGTTTTATCGACTCCTTGCTGGCGACCAGCGCCCCCTAGAGCGATTTTTTCAATTTTTTAAAATTTCATTGTAAGCTATTTCTTCGATGTTCAGAAACGAGACGATCCCTGGTCAGGTGGCGTGGTATAATCCATATCAAGGTCTGACGATGTTACACTACAATCCGGTCGACAGCCGTTTATACTTTTTCGACGATCGACGTTTGCTCAGTGTTAATGTGCGAATGGACGAAGAAGAACCGGATTACGAAGACTAACTGCCTTCATTACTGCTGTTTCACCTGATGTTGAACTTAAATAGGCATTGATTATCTGATTATCTGTTTGTAGTCTTGTGTTGACAGTACCATTTTCAATGTATTTTTTGTGAACTAGTAAAAAATTTTATGGATTAAGTAGTTGAGAATGAGTTCAGGGACGGGTATTCACCTCGTTTTGATTCTTTCTCACCATTAAAAATTGCTCGGTTGTTTTTGATGATTCACGGCATTGAACGACCGAGAATCCTTCATCAAGGTTACGACGAGGTCGGCTGACTGGCTGGTCCGGTCGCCGCCGTTGTGAGGGTGTAAAGAAAAACTCGTATTGCAAAGCTCCGCCCATCGGTTGAAATCATCGAGGCGATGATTTTCGCTTCCAGTGATCCAGTGCTTCCATTTGTTCACTCAGTTTTGTTCACTCAGGCAGTGCTTTTGAGTAATATGTAGGCGGTACGACTTCACCGCTTTCAAATGGTTTTTGCAGTTTTTGCTACCTGAAGTTTCGTAGATCCTGCTTTCTCAGAAAGGAAATTATCCAGTCTATTTTTGGGATGCGCCATGCGTTTGCTAGCTGTTCAGAATCACAATAGCATCCTAATGCCGACAAACGAATGGGCCGGCTGATGTGCTAGGAGTCAGTGTTTTCCATGCTCATGTGGAGTTCAGTACCAGTCCGTTGGTCCAGGAGTGTTTGTTTACCCAGAACTACACTGGTGTGCAAAACTTAGGGACGAAGGTAGGTTATGATACTTCATCTGTCTCGTCCTTAAGTTTTGCACACCAGTGTAGTTTCCATCCGAAGTTAGTTCCCAGGCTATTGTATGTTAGCGACACCACCTGAACAGCTTGCAACCGTCCCAGTGGACTGTAACATAATCCAAGAAAAGCTTCTCGATATTGATCATTTAATTTATTCATTTGATATAGAAAGGTCCTGTAAAGAACCCCTCGAATTATTTTATGGTTCGAAAAACTTCAATTATATATCCATTTGATCAACTCCAACAGTATTTATCCAGGTATTTTCCCGTTCCAATGAATAGGCTTCACTCTGCGCTCCAGTCGCGATAGTTGCTCGAATGAGCCGTTGGCTTGTTGCCAGTGTTGCACGGAGCGCACATTTGAAGGGAGGCTGCGAACAACCAGCGCTTTCTGAGAGTTTCTCGGCACAACCACGACCCTAATGGTGTTTATACGAGCTGTCCTCCAGATGTCCTTGACGTATTGTTTATTTATTTGTCGCCGTCACTATAGTAGCCTCGCTTTGAGCAGCTTTTCCGTTTCTACAGCTTGCTGGCTTCCCTTACTAGTCAACTGTAGCTACTGTACTGAGATACAGTAACCATAAGAAGTCGTATTGCATAGAATTTGTATCGTTTTTGATGATGATAATCTTTTTCATTGCTGCTTTCCAACCCAGTATTATGAACCGATTCCAGTGCAATTAATTGGTTTTGCAGTGGCTCAATACAGTAAATTTTGTTAACAATAGAAATACCGTAATCCATCACAGTAGGTCACAGCATAAATGAGTAAATTTATGATTTTTAACCATATTATTTTACAAACTGATTGTAAATATTTCTTCAGCAAGTATTTGCGATTAGTTTATTTCACGTTTTGATATGGTGCTACCGTAATCACACACAACAACTACACATTGTGGTAAAAAAAAATCAAAGAATTATGGGAATGGCGTCAAATGACGTCACCGTATGAAATATAGAAACACTTCATGATGCAAGTTATTTGCCTTCCGTCAAAACCTTGCAAATAGTGCTCCTTCTCAACGAACAGATTTAATCACTCAAAGCAATACGATTATGGGGAGGCGCCACTTACCTAGAACGCGTCCGTCGTGAGCCTCGAGGAAGAATCCTCTACCCGGCTAAGCGCGATTCCACTATTTTAATTGGTGACTATTGCCCGCTCGTTCTCTTCTGAAAAGCACTAACAGTCTGATCTATATTGTGATGGTCTTCTGCGAGTCATTATACGGAAAGTGCCTTTTAAATGCCACTACAATTTTGATGGGATTTTAAGGCTAAGAGGCTTCCAGAGAAGACTATAAATCATCCCTGGTGCTTTGATTAATTGTCTTTATTTAATTCCTAGAACTAAACTGCGAGTTCCGGTCCAACATCATTTTGTTATCGATCGCTGAGTGGCATGTGGCCCGATCCGGTCCGAGCATCGCACTTTTTCTTGGCGGGTTTGAAACCTGTCGGTTTTACAAAAGAAAATTAACCGGCTCATTCGAAACGTCGCTCGAACGATTCTCTTTTGAGTTCTTTCTATTGGCAGTTATGAAAACCAGTGATCGAAATGCAAAGGTCTGATGAGAACAGAACCCGAATTCCTGCAAAACCCGTCCAAATTACACATCAGCGCTTCGAAGTGCGCGCGCGTGAATGAACCTATTTTAATCAGATTTTCCTGGTAAAAGGGCGCCTCGCCAGTTTTTCCTTTTTTTCTGCTCAGTTTTTTCTACTCTTCTTCTACCAGGAAGGTCTTTCAGGGCGTGACAAGCTTTTTGAAAACGGTCTTTTGCATGATATAGGGGCAGATGCGGGAACCACAGAACCATGTTCAATTTTTCCTGAACGGCCCTCTGAATACCAGAAAAGGAGGTCCCTAGTTCGATTCCTCGTGGTAACAAATTTTTGCATTTCGAGTTGACGTGCCAAAATTCGCGCAAAATGGAGTTAGAACCAACCAGAACAATCAGAACTCCATTTTGCGCGAATTTTGGAACGTCAACTCGAAATGCAAAAATTTGTCACCAAGAGGAATCGAACTAGGGACCCCTTTTCTGGTATTCAGAGGGCCGTTCAGGAAAAATTAAACATGGTTCTGTGGTCCCCGCATCTGCCCCTATATCATGCAAAAGACCGTTTTCAAAAAGCTCGTCACGCCCTGAAAGACCTTCCTGGTAAGGAAAAGTCTTCTTATAGGGTATGTATGGCTTGTTATGGTCTGAGTCTCTCCTTGTATCATGAGCTACAATCATATCTACACAGAGATCAGAAGTAGTCCACTAGTCGAAGGTTGACGTTTTGAATCAGAGACAGTCTCGTCATCTTTTCGGGACCTTCCAAGGGGAAGGACAACCAAAGTAGGGGAAGCTGCCTGACCGCTATGACTTTTCATGAGGCTCGTCATTGTAGTGCATTTCGGGGTGGTTATAATTACCGTGCCGATCCGAAAACGCTCCGCGGGTGAATCTGTCCACGGCAAGCAAGTGAAGTCCTATGCATCTAGCACTAGACAAATATGTAAGACTCGTAAAGAGAAAGTAGGCCAAAACACTGACGAGAGCCAGCTGCCGTCAAGTTGGTAGGCTTATACGTCACCTATTTCACGTTCACGCCTCCACTGTCGGACAATGGACGAGTTGATTTGTCTTCGCTAACGTCTTTATACTGCACCACATATTCTACGGATAGTCAAATCGTAGACGACTTTGAATGTCTACCTCACTTATACATGCCATCCTGGAGAAGCCAGTTCCTGTACAGGTCTATGTTTTTGTTCTCCTTGGTGAAGTCAGCGCTAGCAATTAATCTTGCAATCTTTTGGGAGCATGGGTGCAGTGCTAGACGTGTTTAGTCACTATTTTACCATTTTAAGTGAGTATTTTTGGAGACTTCCTGCTTAAAATCAATATTGGCATCTCAAAAGAGGTCAGTCATCCGCTTGTATGATTACTTCGTTAGTGCTTGCCCCTCTTTTACTTGCATTTAGTGCAAATGCTGTTATCTTTTTTTTGAGTTAATCTCGCCATTTTAGTGTCTGCCTTTTTCTTTGGCCTCTCAGTAAGTGTTCTTAGAGAGCGCTGAGTGCTCAACCTTCCAGCACAGGTATTCGATGGTTCTTGATGAAGGATTCATCAGAGGACTTGAAAATGTGCGCGGCTGTAGACTTCGCTCACTTGTCAGATAGTTTAGATGGCTATAGCTGCTACAGATTGCCACAAGCGTCGACTGCAATGAATTTCTTCTACTCTCTTTCGTGTCGCCTTTGCACTTCTGTTGCACTTGGCATACCCCCAGAACAGGGGTGCAAAGAGGCTCAATCGGGCCACTTTTTGGACATTCATTGGCGCATGTCCTGAGCTGCCTTGTTCGAGAGCTTTCCTTGAGATCGATGCAAAACAGGAAGGACTGTCATACTATGACCAACTTCCACAGGTAAACATTATTTTTGGTGAGAGTGAAAGAAATATGAAGAGAATGAGGCTTGTGAGAGAGATAAGAGTTGATTTCGGAGAATCACTTCATTCTATTGAAATCTCGATGCACACGGCTGCGTATCCATCTACAGGAGCAGTCAAAAAAATTCCATGCCATTTCGTGCATTATTTTTTCCTTTTTGAATTCGTTTTTCTCAAACTCTATCCATGAGCCTTGCGTTTAAAAACAGATTCAGTTCTCATTTCATTATATACAGTAGTGGCCAGAAATTTATGAACAAACGGTTTTTTCATGATTTCTCTTTTGAAAGTCACTGGAACGTCTCCAAATTTGCAACAATTATTAACTACGTGTTTTGTGATCCACACAGAAAATTTCAACCTTCAGCTCAAATTTGGGTTTTTTTTTTAGAATTTTTCGAAGTTAATGAAGGAAGGCAGGTGAAAGATCACTTGATCCGTTTATTTGATTTAAATAATGTATAACCCAACAGAACAGTCAAGTAAACAGTCACTAACATTAAGCAAGTCTAGCACATTGCCCAGAACTCTCTAAAGTATTGGATACATAAACTGGATTTGAATGCGGGGTCAACTAATGAACTCACTCTCTAGTGGGGTCTCTCTCTGTAGTCCCGTCTTTTCGTGGCTCTTTCATTGACATACGAATTTGTAGGTCCCTCCCTAGTGGTTCTGTAATGTTTGGCTCAAGAGTCTGGCCTGGCTGGTCTTTTAAAAGCACCCCATGCTGTCGAAACCACTCCTGCATGTGAGAGGCCCGATGCTTTGAGTCGCTGCTCTGCTG